AGTTTCAGTTTCTGCGGTTTGCTTGATTAGAGGTTAACGCGTGAAGAAGGTCAGATTCTTCTTAATTGATTGATTTTGTTACCATTTTTGTAACCGACTTTTCGATTTATGACCTCTTTTTATAGCTAATGATTTTTTAGGGTTTTTGTAGGAATTTGTGTGTTTTGGGGATTTTCGCAATGTCGGGTTCGCAGGTTAAGCTCGAGAAGATGAAGCTCCGGCAAGATTACCGGAATTTATGGCATTCCGATCTCATGGGCACCGTCACCGCCGATACTCCCTGTAAAAAAGTCTCTCTTTTTTACTCTCTCTATCTTCATGTTATTGTTTAATTGAAGAATTGATGGTTTTCGTTTTCTGGGTTTTTGTTTGCAGATTGCTTCTTGTCTTGCTTGTGGTAAGTTTCTCTTGTTCTATGTCTTTTAGAGTTTTGTTATTAGAGAGAATCTGAGATCTTTTTGGTTGAATATAAATCATTTCTATGTGTTATGTATTATATTTTGGTATAAAATTTGATGTGTTCTTCATTTTTGACTGTAGTGGACCTTGTGTTTCATACCTACTTCGTAAAAGAGCACTATACAATGACATGTCAAGGTATACACGATTTCTACCAGATCTAAGGCTAAGAATGTTTCTTCTTCCTTTGCTTAGATGTGTTGCGTGTCCATCTGTTTTTGTGTAGGTATACTTGTTGTGCTGGATATATGCCTTGTAGTGGAAGGTGTGGAGAAAGCAAATGCCCTCAACTTTGCCTTGCTACCGAGGTCAGACTTCTCGATTATATCTTGTTTTGGTGGAACGAGATTTAGTGAACTTGACCTCTTGTTTGGATGTTGAAAATGAAATTGGGAATGAGAACATTTAACGGCTTATCATCTGGATATTTTCTTGATCTTTCTTTTCCGCTTAGCTGTGTGTTGCTGAGACATTTGTTCTAATCTGATATACTTCAGTTGGGTCAAGGCCTTTTTTTCTAGAAACCTGTCCCGGTTTGTTGTGTTCTATATGCTCTTTATTTGAAATGCTTTACTCATTTTATTTGACTCAGACTATTACATTTTCTTCTAGAGCTTTACGAATGAATGAGATTTTCAATAGATCCCTCGATGATTTTATGATTTGACGTTTGTTGTAATTTTCAGGTTTTCCTCTGTTTCGGAAACTCTGTGGCCTCTACCCGCTTTCTTCTGCAGGATGAATTCAATATCCAGACTACACAATGCGACAATTGCATAATTGTACTATCACACCCTCTTTTCCTTACCGGTTTAAACATAATGCATATCTGAGTAAATCAAAACAAATCCAATCTTGGGCGTTTGCAGGGATTTATGTTCTGCCTCAGCCAAGTTGCTTGCATATTCTCTATAGTCGCTTGCCTTGTTGGTAGCGATGAACTTTCCGAGGCTTCTCAGATTCTATCTTGCTGTGCTGATATGGTTTACTGCACGTATGTATTTCCTTTATGTGATTTTTTTCCCTTTTCCCTCTAATCTATTAATGTTCACGCATTGCTAATACATTAACTCACGGTCTTGATTTTCTTGCAGGGTCTGCGCGTGTATGCAGGTACCATAACGCAAGAACTAGAAACTAACCTTAGCTTCTGAAACTATCTTCTCTTCTCTTATGGTATATATATATCTAAAACCAAATCTTCTGCTTGCAGACACAACACAAGCTTGAAATGGACAAAAGAGATGGAGTGTTTGGATCTCAACCAATGGGCGTGCCACCGGCTCAGCAGATGTCCCGCTTTGATCAACCCGTCCCTCCTCCAGTCGGATATCCTCCTGCATCATACCCGCAGGCTCAAGGCTACCCTCCTGCATCTTACCCGCCGGCTCAAGGCTACCCTCCTGCATCTTACCCGCCTCCCGGCTATCCCCAACATTAAGATACCTTGACCAATATCTTCATTTTCTGTGTCAAAGTGTTGTTGTTACTCGATTTAGGTGTGCAGAACTGTTATATTGTTCAGCTATCTTCCTCGCTTATGTGGTTTCTTTGGAACTATTAGTACTCCGTTTATGCCCGAAAATCTTAGTTATCATTTGGTGTGCTGATTTTGTTGGTATTTCCGCAAACTAAGAGCCGGTTCAAGTCTGCAGAAGTGGGTTTCTTATGTGATTTTGTCGTAGTCTGGTTTCTTTAGTTTTCTCCTCTTATAATAAGAGGCAAACTCGGCAGGGTTTCTTAGCAAGAAGAATTCTAATGAATGGTGTAATACATTTTCATACACTTTCTAAAACACATCTCTGGTTTGGTTCCACGCCTAAAAGTTGCTCGAACTAGTCCATAACTTGAAGGGAAACCAAATTCATGAATCCAATCACTTTCAACTCTGTTTTTGGCCCTCAAGTTTAGTAGACTTTGATGCATGTCATGTCATCACTAGTTTGGAAGAAGCATGGTTAAGAAGGCATATTAATTTGTTTTCATATATTATTGGGTGGCTATAGACTCGAAATTAAG